CATGTTTCAGCTAAATGTGCTGCGTACTTTTCTGTCCATCTGACAGAAAAAAAAATGACTTGGCATCAGTTTTCATGATTTTCCTCTCGAATGATGATCCGTCCCAGCGTGTCTGAAAGCGATACCAAGGAAATATTTTTTGGCCGAATGACAAGTCCACTAGCAGTGTTGTCTGCAGCAATCACTTTTTGTAGTGAGATTATGCTCTGTTATCCACAAAGAGACGCCGTCTGAAGAACTGGATGCTATTGCGAGCGTGTTCAAAAAATAACCTAGCTACATGCAGCCATGGCAGCCGCAAAGGACGAAGTTTAGAGCGATTTTTGTAGAATTCTACTTCAAGCCAAAAGAGGACATCTACTTCCACAGGTGGTAGTGATTCAGCCTGTGATCCAGGCTGTAGTAATGAAAAGAGCACAAACAATCCGAAAACTGTCGCGTGCTGGTTGCCTTTACAGTGCGAAGATAGCATGTTGAATGAAGAAGCACTTCACGAATCAAGTCATTCACCACAGGCTCCGCTTAGGCACGTGCCCACATATGTGTCTGAATATTCTGTGGTTATAGGATGTGGGAAACTAGGCGAACGTTCTCCAGCACATGAAGGTAAGCAAGCTAGTAAAACAGTTGAATGCACAACGCAAATTAGCGATGAGCTGCTGGCAAGCAGGTTGTCAAGTTTAAGGACGATAAACCTATTGAAAGTTCAAGTATTCAGGAAAGCAGATGTTATAAGGAGGCTGCAGTGAGAAAACAGAGACGAGCTTTGGAGGATTTCTAGCGAAAAATTATAGAAAAAACAACCGCAGTACAACAAGCAAAACGACCTACCAGCGTCCTTGTCCATTCTGTTTGTATGTTTCTTGCTTTAAACCTTCCCAGAGAGAAAAACACCAGTGCGTATAGCAAAAAAAACGTAACGTATGGCATTAGCGAATGATTTGCGGCGATGTGCCTCTCGCCGTTGTCCGAAGTATGCTTCAGAATTACACAGCCAATAGCCCAGTTGCGCCAGTGAGTGACGTTTTTCCTTTAGGCACAAGTGTGCTGCAATTTGCTATCACGTGTCGCACTGAGCTGCGATTGCCAAGCATTCGTCCTCTGCGCGTGTCTACGTCACGGCAAGACAGCCTTGGGGGTGCGCGCCTCTGGGTGGTGGCGAGGGTAGTTAACCCTCTTTCTCCGATTACGCGCTCTGGGTGCAAATGGGACGGCAGTAGCAGCGGCGTGCCGCAGGCTACTCTTGGAAGTCATGGGATATATCATCATCAGCCTGACTACGTCCTCTGCAGGACAAAAGCCTCTCCCATGTTCCGCCAGTTAACCCGGTCCTGTGTTTGCTGCTGCCAATTTATACCCGCAAACTTCTTAATCTCGTATGCCCACCTAACCTTCTGTCTCCTCCTAACCCGCTTCCCTTCTCTATGAATCCAGTTAGTTACCCTTAATGACCAGCGGTTATCCTGTCTACGCGCTACATGCCCGGCCCATGTCCATTTCCTCTTCTTTATTTCAACTATGATATCCTTAACCCCCGTTTGTCCTCTAATCCACTCGGGTCTCTTCTTGTCTCTTAAGGTTACACCTACCATTTTTCTTTTCATTGCTCGCTGCGTCGTCCTTTATTTAAGCTGAACCCTCTTTGTAAGTCTCCAGGTTTCTACTCCGTAGCTAAGTACCGGCAAGATACAGCTGTTATATACCTTCCTCTTGAGGGATAGTGGCAATCTACCTGTCATAATTTGAGAGTGCTTGCCGAATGTGCTCCATCCCATTCTAATTCTTCTAGTTACTTCAATCTCGTGCTTAGGCTCTGCGGTTATTACCTGCCCTAAGTAGACATCCCACATGGGATATATATGTGCATTCTACTTTCACTCACTAGATGACGCACACCACGCAAATCAAAATGCAGACGTTGCCATACTTAAGTAACTGCTGTATATAAAGTACAATGGTGTAAAGCTTTATTCTCGCTGCAATTTCGCGCTGCATTTTGTCAGTAGCAGTATTATATCCATCCCGGTACAGTAATCTGTGAATTTAGGTTTTCTGGGCAAGAGCGCTGACGCGTGCTTTCTTGAAAACTATTTTAACTATATAAAAGTTCGAAGCTCTTTCAAGACAAATTATTTCGATTGTTACTGACCCCTTTAATATTTGACCAGACAAGACGTTTAGATAAATTTATTCAGGGCACACATTAACACAATACCGGAAAGCCAGTCAAATGTCTGAGGCAACATACCTTACTTAGGCTTAGTAGTAAACGTTCAGCACCACTGGACTATAGTTCATGGTGTCATGGTGTTTTATATTTGTTTGAGTTTGTAAGCATAGTTTTTACTTGTTTATTCCTACTTAAGAAAAGGGGGTGTGGTATGAAGGCCAGGTTCAAAGTAATGAACCTGTAATGTAATTTCACACCTTGCAGACTTGCCCAGCTCGGCGCTGCTTAAAGAGACCCTCAAATGGTCTTGACAATGTTGCACTAGCTTATTGAGCTGGTAGGGCAAGCCGTAAAAATGACTAGCAGACCGGTGCAAGGCATCTTAGTAAACTCTGTAATTTTATGTGGCTTTTAAATCAGGAATTCACCGCAGATCACACTGCCTACATCAATTGAGTTTTCAAACCACCCACCACATTACGTGACGTAGATGTAGTATGACACAAGGCGATCGATTTCATTGGATGTCCGGTGTACATCAATCACAACTTTTCCAACCTAGGTGTGAAGAAATGCTGTTTTTGGAATAGCTGCAAGAGATTACACTTTGTTCACTGAGACAGCAAAGGAAAAGGAATACGTGATCACAATTCACTACCAGACATGGGGAATTTATGCAGACAGCGAGCGTCGTGAGCCTTTGGTAAAATGTGCTCCGTGCTGACGTGAGTTTTGCGACAGTGTATATATTTTGGGGTTTCTTTTCTCATAAATTTTGAAAAGTCTTTGATGCGCGTTTTTTTTGTTTTTACAAGGACGAAGGCAATTTTTTTTTTCAAGCTTAGGTTGATGTCGTTGTCCTCTACATTCTCCCGAGAGTTGGTCGCCGAACATGTACCGATGTTCTCTCCTGAATACAACCGCCAATAGCCCGTAACTGACTTCGTACAGTGTGCCACATAGATTGTGACTCTATGGCTTTAACTAAAAGTCTGAAGGAACAACTGCAGGGACCAGGGAATCATTCCAGACTTCTTCGGACTACTTGACTGGAAGGAATGATGTAAATTATGTGAATTTTTAAAGTTAATGGAAGAAAATAAGGGGTTGGGCAGGGAAAAAAACGAGCAGTTAGTACATCGGCGTAAGACATACCTCATGCTCATACACCGGATAACGAAATTTCTGCCATAAACTTTACTACAGAGCTTCACATTTACTATCACAAAATTTTCAGAGCTCAGTATGAAACATTAGAAAAAATACCGATATGTAAAAACAAGCAATTTACCGTGGGGATGATGCTTCCGCCGAATATCGGTAGTTTTTTTTTTCTACATGCATTCAAACGAAACCATGCAAAAATTTTCATGGGTGTGTAATTACGAGCATATGACCCCTTAGAAGAAGAAGGGAAATAATAGTATTCCTAGTGAATTCTTATTTAAATATGGCGAGAACCATTATGCATTTGTGTTTATGACTATGCCAGTAATTGTCCATGATATTGGGCTGCTTATAAGCCATAGCTATGTAACGATATCCAGAAATGCCTAACTTTTCTGCAATAATTCCGGCCGTTCCGACAGTGAGGCGAAGTAGCTAGTTATAAAAATTATCAGCAGAAGAACGTTACACTTGCACAAATGCGTGTTACATAGCTAATAATTCTGATGGCAATAACCAATTTCAGCTGTACCCTACATTTTAAAGGGGGCCTGCAACACTTTGTGAGCATTGTCAGAAAGCGCTGCTGATTGGTAGGGGAAGCTGCCGCCAACACGTGAGTTAAATATTAGAGCGCTGCACGTGGCCTGGAATTGACAATAAATTATCAAAGTACGCCCATCTATCAGCCATTGGCTGATTTGAACATCGCGCGCTTGGTCGTTACAGAGATTTCCGTGGGAGGCCGCTACTTGTCTACGCGTGCACGCGTGATCACACTGATAACTCGCGCATTCGTAGAAAAAAAAGACAAAGTGCTCGAGGTCAGGAGGCCCGCATGACGTTTTTGTTTGCCCCTCCCATCCTTCCTTGCTTAGCTGCCAGGGCGCTTTCGTCGGGACGAGAAAAGAGAGAATGTGATTGAATCGTGTGACAAATCTTTGGGACTGCGTTCGTACTGAACATATTCTTAACACTTTTGCGGCGTTGATTTTTTAGGCAATAGGCATTTCCAGTAAATGAATTTTATGATAATTAAAAAAAAGTGTTTCAGGGCCCCTTTAAGGCTAATCTTTTTGCATGCGACTGAACACAAAGCACCTATAGTAGCCTTCAGAAGCTACCTGTATTTTACTGCGAAATATTTTATGAGATCCTACCAATTCCGTAGTTGTTTGCCCCCATCGCACGTATTCATTATCGCTCGAATTGAGAAAAACAAAGAAATGAATAGAAATTGTCCAGAATCCAATTTGAGTTCAACCCTGGCTTTCTAGGAGGCAGTCGAGAATTATACTCAGAGCAGCTCTGCCTAGCCACTTAAAGAGGCGAGCGGGCGAAGTAGTCTGACCCATACGTTGAAGTAACCAGGAGGGGGAGGCTGCGCCAAACTTTTGCCCCCCTCTCTCTAAATAGGAACTTTGCGCATAGGAAAGTAAGCATATATCAGCAGCAACTTCGGCGAGAAACACTCCGCATTTTTTTATGAAGCTAATTGGGATAATCCGGATTCAGCAAGAAGTACAGTAATAAAGCGGTTTGATTTTCTGCTTTTCCTGTACGGCGAAATTTGTTAAATTTAATTTAGTATGCATTTTCAATCATGAAGAAGCTGACTTGTAAAGCTTGGTAGGAAAGCCGTACAGACAAATATAGAAACGTGTTAATATTCCAAATCTCATAACATTTTTATTGAGAATTCACAGGTAATGATGAGCGTAGTAAAACGCCGGTTCCATAGCTTCCAAAGACGTAATGGGGAGATGTTCAGGCCGATTTTTTCGTGATGAATAATTTCTGAAAAAGAAAGAAACATTACAATAGTCAGAATTTTCCGTAACAAAATGTTAAATATCATTGGGGAAACTGAATCATTTCTGTTATGTGGCATGCTAAGAATCGCAGCATTGTTTTGCTGCAGATGATTTTTAGAAGAATTACGAAAAGCGTACAATACTTCTCACTCAGCCAGAACAAAATTTTTACTCACTTAATTTTCTGACTGTTCGCATAGTATGACCATCCGTGTAGCATACGCCTCTTTCAAGCGCTGAAACTCCCACAAGAAATAGATTGGACTGAAGATATGAAGACGTGTGTTTATTTATGTGAATAAACAGTCTGCAGTTCTTCATTTAGCGGAGGATGCATGAGACAACGTTCATATCGGTTGATTTTCTTGCGGTTTGTGTCAGCCCTCACCGTATTCTGAATCAACTGAATGTTTTGGATGTAAGAATTCCGAAGCTATAATACATAATTTCGTCTCATGAATAATTTTAAGTCATAGTGGTAAGATTTAAATTTAGCGTTCAGTGGTGACCACCTCGAAAAGAAGGTATACGACTTCGTTGGCGCGTAACATTGACATGCCGGCTTGAGATGTGACAATGAACTGCAATTGGACATCCTGTGGTACTTACACTTCTTGTGAATGAGGCTGGAGTACTGCACGGGAGAGCCAAGACCGTAGCCGTAGTTCAGGCCATAGCTGCCGAGGCCGTAACCGTAGCCGTAGTGACCGGAGCCGTAACCAAGCGATCCGACTCCGTAACCATAAACAGGGGCAGAGTGCGCAACTCCGTAAGATGCTACGGCAGGAGTGGCATGAGCCAGGCCGACGCCGTAGGAGGCAACCGCTGGGGCAGTGTGGGCAAGCCCAACTCCGTACGAAGCGACCGCTGGAGCAGCGTGGGCCAGGCCAACGCCGTAGGACGCAACGGCTGGAGCACCGTGAGTGAGTCCGACGCCGTAGGAGGCAACGGCTGGAGCACCGTGAGTGAGTCCGACGCCGTAGGAGGCGACAGCTGGAGCATGGTGGACTGCGGTGACAGCTGGGGCAGTGTGAGCAAGGCCGACACCGTAGGAAGCCACGGATGGGGCCACGCCGTAGGAAGCGTAGCGAGTGATAGCCGGGGCAGCTGCGTAAGTGGCGTAAGATGGAGCAGTGTGCACAGCGGACACAGCTGGCGCAGCGTGATAGGCAGACACCGTGCGAGTCACGGCTGGCGCAGCGGCTACGGTGCGGCCGAGACCGCTGTAGCCATAGCCAAGGCCTCCATAACCATAGCCGAGACCACCGTAGCTTACGCCGCCATAACCAAGGCCGGAGCCGGTGAGCCCGGAGTAGCCGTAGCCGTGACCCAGGGCATAGCCACCGTAACCGCCCAATCCAGTGGCATAGTTTCCGTAGCCGTATCCGAGAGCGGCATTCCTGAGCAGGGAGCCGCGGACGTAGCCAGCAGCAGCGCTGGAGACCAGGGCCAGAAACAGGCAGGCGTGAAGCTGTAAAATTAGCTAATTAGTACCTGTTGCAACAAGTAACAGAAAAAGAATTCGAGGTTAGCTTTCTTTTTTAGCATTTGACAGCAGAACATACGCATATGAAATTTCAATGACAATCCTTGTTTCAAAAACACGTTTGTGTTCATACTCACATACAAACGTTGGGAAATCTGCTTGAACAAATAATATAAACTTGAGTATATTGGTAATACGTAACTGATCACGTAGCGCAAAAATTTGACACAAAGTTGGAAGTAAGCGCTCGCGTTAGTCCCTGCTCCTGTGCTGTGTCGGATTTTTGTGCTACGTGATCAGTTGTGCTTGAAGCTGCTTATGTAAATAGTTTAAAGGGCACCCGTCCGTAAATGCGACCCACTGCAATAGTACAATGCTTCTCTAAGCCGCAGTCTCTAGTCTTAAGCACAGTTAAATGATTACCGCTACCCAGGTGCTGCCTAATAGTTCCATCATGGCAGAGTTAATCTATATTTTTGCTAACAACCTGCTAGAACTGCAAAACTCTTGTGCACCCTTGGTTGCCCTGGCAATTCACTTGCTTCATGTTTTATAGACACTAGTTTGCTCTAAAGCATGTACTTCCGGTGACTGTGTTACTGAGGTGTACAACCGAACATTCATGTGCCCATACAACGCTTTTTTTCCGTAATGATCAAATTATTTTTCTTATCCGTTTGGAAGGAGTGGGGTTGCAGGTATTTTCCAAATGATTCAAGCGTTTCTCTTCATTTTTCACGACGAGCACGCAGAAAGTTGCTTAGAATGGGGGGGGGGGGGGGTCTAGAAATTACGTTCAAGTCACGTCATTGTGGGTCATATACTGCAGCCTCTTCATTTCGCTGTTTTCTCTGCGTCTATTGTTACTTTATTATATTTTGGCGTGTCATGCCACTTTCGATGTGATCACATGCACATGAGTGCTGATGCTGCATTTTTCTAGCAAGCTAAAGCGCACGGCACCGTTGCGCCAGGCACCCCGTGGTGGCAACGGCAACTAAGCCACACAACAATGGTAAAATCTTTCAATGACCACGGCGTTTTCTTTATGGACGTTGTAGCGAGCATTGAAGGCAGAATTTCCCCCAAAAATGGAGAGTAGTAATCTCTAGGGGTCCTTAAAACGCAATAGTCTGTTCCTTGTCACGTGTGGTGGTGGATGTATCATTTGGCTCAGCTTCGCACAGAAACCATGACGGCGAAGCCAGTGCTTTTTGTGACCATAATAAAGAGTATCACAGCAAGAGTTGTTAGAAAAACACATCAACCGTTTCTGAAGCCATATTTTTCTGCAACTACCACCGCTGCCATTAGTAATCGCTATCGTTCAATATAAGAAGAAACCAAAATAATAATAGAAAAAATCTTGGACGGAATGGGATTCCGATCTGCAGGTAATCAGAGGGGCAGCCCCGAATTCTTCCACAGAGCCACTCCAGTGCTTGGGAATCCTTCGTAAACATAACTCATTCATGCCCAATTTGTCTAGAAAGGAATCTCGTAAACATGTGCAGTGTTTCGAAAGAGTAAGGCAACAGCCATGCTATACAAAACGCGGATAGCGCAAAGAGTGAGCAACTGGATCATTCCAACCCCATTACAAAACGCTCAAAAATGTTTCATCGTCATCAGCCACAGCATCAACAAAGTGCTACCGGTGTGTATCGGGTGCCACGCTACTCTGAAGAAGGAATAATGGCGTAGTGGGTGCTTTTTTACTTCACAAAAACTGTCATGATTTATGGCGTTGAGGGCTACCTTGAAAGTGTACTTGTACAGTTGCAACATGAGTGTTTTAGGAAGGCTCCAGAAAGGCTACTATTTCAGCATTCGCTGGGACTAGAAATATATTGTAACAATACTGATTGTTGGCCTAGTTGGTACTTGCTTACTGACAAGCTTTGGCCGCAAAACAACACACACACACAAAGTAAAAAAACACTTGTCGTTTAGTGTTTCTTTACTTTGTGTGTGTTATTTTGCGGCCAAAGCATGTCAGTAAGCTGGGACTAGGCTGTGTTTTCTCATAGCCTTGGCTTTTTGTTGGTTGGTTGAATTTTTTTAACTCCCTAAAATTGTTGATGGGCGTTAAGGAAGACGTTGGCACTTTGCACGGCGCTGCTTACCAGCCCACGGGTGAGGGAAAACGTAAGCTGTAGTCAGCCACGAATAAAAAAATCATAAAGCAATTGGGCAATATTTTGGCTCACTTGCCACATTATGTGAAAATATCTAGCATCAGTGCTGATAAATGAGCCCAGGCAGAAGATCAATGTGGCCAGAAAGTAGCCACGGAGCTTCCTTGAACCTTTCGTCGCCAGACGTGGTCATAAAGTACCGAGTTTAACGTGAAGTATCCAACAATGGCAACCCCCCTCTCTCTTCTTCTCCTTCAGTTTTCTTGGTTCTTTTAGTAGCATTTTTTTTATACCGTGTCTACGTGTTATTTCTCGTATTTGCTGCATGATGCTAGTAAGTAAGACTTTCCCCTTTCCTAAAACAAAACACAAATAATCACCTAAAACCTGCTTTCACCAGTTCTGTGCTTTCTGCATAGCCATTAAAAAACAGCTCACCCGCTCATGATAATCAACGCTCAAAAACGCGTACACTGCAAAAGGCAGTAATGAGTTGGCTCAAGTGATAATTCGCCAGGACAATTTCGTTTTTAGAATGTGCAATACATTGTTTGTTGAACATAATTTAGTTTTGCTATTTTAGCTCTCAAATAGTTGATAAATATAAATAGAACTAGCCAGTTTCAACTCACTTTCTGCATTTTTTATTTATACTTAAACTTCAGTTCACTACTTACAAACTTATTCGTGTGCTCAGCGTACTCTTTGGCTATATGACAACTAACTAGCACACTTGCAATTTTTTTTTCTCAGTGATGTGTTTCCTTGAGATAAGGCTAAACTTCAAGGTAAGTAAACAATTTGGTCGCTGTGTTGTTACAAATCCCTCACCTCTCCTACCCTCATTTCATACTCCCGCTGTCAGAAGATGTTACAAATATCTATACAAATATTTTTTGCCTAGCAATACCAATAAAAAAAGAATAAACTTAAGAATACCGTAAAAACGGCACCGCTCTCAAAATTTCCGTTCGTTCCCGTTTAAATCAGCAATCAGTCCACTCTAATAGATAACATCTGAATTTGGAATGCGTCCCGCTTATCTTGGGAACATTTTCTAAATGATGTCACACTCAGCGATCCAATGACACCGCTGAAAAGGTGGTGACAGAATCTTCAGTGCCATCGCCAAGTCACAACAAAACTGCCCGAAAGATTCTGGTTATCAGTACCCGGCTTTCTGATCTTGGCCCGTTATGCCATGTACGATCCCGCCAAACTTTTTTTCAATGGTTTTCTCTTTCTCACTGCATAGTGCCCGGAACGCGACTGATTCCTAATTCAATGCCAACCGAGTGTTAACTTTAGAATCGAGCTGGGAAAATAAAAAAATACGTAGTTTTATGACCCCGTAATGCCATCGCATACCGTGGTGTTTGTTCAGATCTCCCGCCGTCTGACCACGTGGATCTTTTTTTTTTTCATTTCAAGAACGTTCCCCTGCCTGGTACGACACCGATTCGCAGAAGACGCGTCCCCGCGATCTCGCCACGAGGTTAACCGGAGTGCCCTGGAAGCGATCCACCCTTCTCGCCCCAATATCACCCCGTTCAAGGTCTGCGTGGCTGCGCAACTAAGGCGGGTACGCACGGGCGGGAGGATTCCGCTAAACAAGCGTGAGGTACGGCAGCATCAAAGAAAACGAAACCCACTGTGAAATACTCGCTGCACAGCGTCTCTCGCACGTACGAGTCTTGAAATGCGTGAACTCGCGCATCGATTTCAAGAGAGTTTCTCAAGAGCTTGGGTCTATAGCGGCCTATTCCGAACACATGGCACGTCCCATATCAGTTGGCATGTCGTTGGCCGCTTTGAATATTTCATTCCCGGGGTTCATAACTGAAACCGGGAATGGAAGATTTCGGTTCCGTTTCGATATGACTTGTTGGCTCAAGGCACACCAGGCCATATCTAAGCATGACATTTAGGCATCGAAGAGCTGTTCTGTACTCTTTAAGATTTCGCTGTTCCTCACTTCGTTCAATATGTTTAAACTCTGTTTTTTTATCTGTAGACTTTCAAATAGGTAAAAAAAATTGTTGGGTAGCTAGGAAGTGAGGTTGAATATTTACACACTTAATCAGGCTCCACCTAAAGTCTTGGATATGTCCAGGAAACCGAACATTCTTTTTGTACTTTCCTGGATATAGCCATAATTTAAGCATGACCTGGTTAAGGGTGCACGCTTGGGGCAAGAAGGGCAAGCGACCGAGTGATTAACATGAGCAAACAACACTTACTCCGTTCATAGTGGTAGTTTCTTTCGTTCCGGGTCCAGCGTATGAAGAAAACACTGCTCGACTAGCGGTTGCGGCGTTGTCTTCTTATACATAATGGAGAGTGAGCGTCGTCCCTGCTTCCGCGGAGAGGGTCGCCAAAAAGAGCGTGAGAAGAAGCGATCACCTTTGCTCGCCTATTTCCGCTTTTCTTTGTTACTTGCTCGGTTCATTACCACTCGCCTTCCCGTTCCTGATCTTGAACTGAGATGAAAATTAGGTCGCTTCACTGAGAGCTTCAAGACGAAGAAGCAAAAAGACTGATTTTATTCAAACCATACCACGGTTAATCTCGCTTGGTTAACTTCGTGTATTATTTCGTTACTCATTATATAAGCATAAGCAAATGCGCACCACGGGGATGTGTGGTACCCGGCACGCACTCCCAGCCACAGGTTGATCGATAGATAACCAAGTGTCTCGGTCCATTCAAGATGCACCTAATCAAACCGGCTGTCTAAGGGATGCGGCTCCAAAGTTACCGGCACGTCAGTGTTAGGAAAGTACACAGGTAATCGTGGTTGCAGTACACGTTTACATCTGTTCGCTTCACCAGGTCACGCCTGAGATATACCCACACTGTCCGTAAATTTTGAATATTTTTACAATGGTTGGTTCAGTATCAACATTTAACGACGTCCGTTTTATCTAGCGTGAGCGTGGAGGACGAGAGGAAGTTATCATGGCAACGAGACTAGACAGGACCACTATCCTCCTTGCGTTTCTTTTGCTTGTTACGAGCTTTTTTGTGCCTTATAAGTTGTGTGGAAGCTTCAAAAACCCTGAATAGGCAGTTATTTAGTTTTTTTTTCTTTCTTTTTGGACAATATTCCATCACTTTTAGTGTCCGTGACATTGACACAGTGGCTCGTTTTAGAGAAGTTTAGGAGATGTTATAAGTCGTTGAACGTGTCGCACAAGCCGGAATAAATTGAAACCTAGACACAAGGCTACCATGCCACCCTGCCGCTGATTTACGACGTTAGTGCTAATAAAGACGTAAACATCGTTTCTGGCTGCAGGCGGTCGCAAGATTAATCTGTTATGCGCGCTCTTAGGCTAAAGGGCCACAGGCAGTCTTCAGGGAAAGGTTATGCAGGAGCTAAACGAAACAAGTGCTTTTCTTTTTCTTTTTTTTTTGTTTTGCAAATCATCCATGAATGGCCACATATTTTGTTTTATTCGTGCTCACCCGTGATGGTTTGTCACCTCACTACGAACCACGTCTTATAGAGAGAGAAAAACATCAATCGTGCGAAAATGAGGGGACACGGGGTGCAGTAAACATCAATATTGCGCATATTGGCCAGTTAATTTGGCTCACATCGAGAGGGAGGTCGTATATAGCAAAGTATCGTAACCTATCTAGCCGACCTTGGCATGAAAGGCAAAACATATATTTGCTTTGTGTTATCTCGTTTCTCGTGTGTATGTTTTATTTCCTATAATCACCTATCTTTGCAGCCGGCTCCAGTTTGGCACTGCAATAGATTTGTATGCCCGTTGCCATATGTTGCTCTATAATCTTTTAAACATCATCAACAGAGAAATATTTTGTGTTTGGTTAGCGAATTGCTCAACTGAAGTTTCTATCGCGCAACTGTGTTCAAATCCTTGCAAACGTTGTCGAAATGATTCAAACGCTTTTAGTAAAACGCCCAGCGGTCAAAACCCAACCTTTTATGCCTGAGGCAATGGTCCGAGCGAGTTCTGTGTTTTACAGCTAACGAAGTTGCGTGCAAGATTCACGTAATCCTCCTGGAAAGAAATAATGCGATCTGAATGAATTGTCTGAGACAAGCACGCGGTTATTATACAAAAAAACAACAACTAATGCGTATTGAGTAGCGTCCTTTCTCTGTATGTCAACAGAGGGATCGATATAAAGGTACAAACCCTTAATCCCACGAGTTTTACTGAATGTGTGTCGGCCGATATGTGTAAAGGTGGCAACAACAAAATCGGGCTGACGTCTTTTGGAGAATATACTCGCAGTACGCAAGTGAAATTTTTCTCAAAGAGGTATATCCAAGCTATTCTTGGATGTCGCAGATTACAGTTTACACAATAATAGTGGCATGTAGACCGGCACTGCATCTCTCGATATGGATACAGCCACGTTCACGTGGCTCTTGTGTAATGTATACCATGTGAATTTTTTTCGGCTGTGTCGTGTCGTGGAAGCGCGCTATCTTTCGACGAGCACATTATCCAAAGGCAGCAGGACCGATTGAGGCGTGCACTTCGAATGCGCTCAAGCATCGTACTTCGCGCGGGCGTGCCTCTCGCTGGTAAAATGAACTCACTTTCACAAGACTCAGCCAACGTTATTGCTGCCTTTCTTCTGTTACCGATAATTGACCAAAACATCAATAGGTATCTTTGAGATATATGGTCATTTATGAAGCGTGTTCTCCATCCCATATTTAAGCACTCCTAATGATTGTGACACTTATGGCGTGCAAATGCTGAACGCCAGAAATCATAACATTCATGAAGAATATTCGAGTAAGTTTAGGTTGTTTATTTTAACTTAAGTGGTAGTTTGAGGTAATGCACAATAATGGCTGGTTAGGATGTATGTTCCTCACACCAATCTGAAAACAATGCTCTATGTCGCATTTCGTATTTAGACCTGTGATATTTTAATAAATCACATGCTCTTAAACATCAGTGGTGCACAATGTATATGTAAATAAATAAGTGAGTTAAAGAAGATGAACAAATGAATAAACTTGGGGGCACGGGGCAGGCTTACATGCAGTACTCGCAAATTGGCGGAGAAAACATTTCGTCAATGCTGCGCAGCTCCTACATTTGACATAGAAGTGGTCGTTCAGTGCCCGTACTGGGTCACACTGTGAAGAAGACGTCGTCCTACTTGTGCCACCAGTGTTGTTCAAGTGTAGAACATACATCGGCTGTTACTCTGAAATACTGATACCCGAAATGTGGTGTTAGTAAAGATCCATCCTCAGAGAACGGTGAATCAATAGGCGATCATGTGTTCAAAAGATAGCTGTTTTGTCCATCGAAGCAAAACATGTGTGATAACACAGTCAGCAGGGAAACCTCGTAAACAAGTTTAATAACAAGGTACGTATGTCTACGGGCATCGGTCAGCAGCATTCCCTCAAGCAGAGCAGAGACGAGCTCATGGCAATGGCGGTGCCACTGAGGCAAATTGCAATGCCGGTGAACTCACTCTTTCTCACTACAATGTATATAATTTTATAATTCTACATTAATAGAGAAGTGCTCTTTTTAAAATTTCCTAATTTTTCAGCTGGGTAATACACTTTTAAACAGAAGCCGTATTTTTCAAGTAGTGTCGTGCATTTATCAGGCTAGATGTGTTCGTGAACACATTTGAGCGCAATCGCACTGGCTGTTGCAGCTGTTATGGCTATGTCGTCTAGTTACGTTGCTGGTGTGAATGGCAGTGCACACGTGTCACGTCCGCAACCCCGCTAACTTGGTGAAGTGACCGCTGAAAATTCCGACCATGGCTGGACAGACGGCATTTCGAAATGTTTTTTATAGGGATTACACTCATTTAAGAAAGAGGGCTCTTTGCGGCAAACTATTGTTATGTGGATCCTCACAGAGCTACACGTTAAACATCTTGGGTGCGATGGCTTCGGCTATCATCGTATTGCTCATCAATATTGGGAGACGATACGTGAATGGTGAACGCTATGCTTCAGGCCCGCGAGGGTGTGGTGGAACGGATTGCGTGCAATCGATAGCGCGAAGGGGTTCAAACTCGTCAGTATTATCAGTATAAGTCAGAAGTTTCAAACCAACCTCAGCCCGCTGGTTGCAGTCAGGCAATTTTTTTTCTTTAAGGGCCAGGGCCTTGCAAAGGCAGGGTCGGGGGGTGGAGGGTGAGGGTGGAGAAGTGTTTTCAAAAGTTGTCAGAAAACGTCGCCAGTTCAAGGAAAACCTTTCAAATGTATTTTATCCAATTTTTCAGAAGTTGACTACAGGATTGAAACAATATGTCGATACCGACCTCCACAATGACTGAAATCTGGACGCCAGCCAATTCTGAAGTAGAGTTCTTGATTGAAGATTATGTTTTACAACATGGTGACCACATGGGGTGTCTCACGAAAATAATGCTTCAAGTCAGTAATGCAAACGCCCCCTGGAAGCAATGCTTTGAACCAGTCACACTCGTAAAGTGTGGGGCGAAGACGTTGTGGGCCGCACGGGCTGCCTCTTTGAATATCCCGGTGTAAGTGGTAGGTTTCGACGCACGAGCTTGTAGAACACATGTCAAAATTTATGTCTAACACTAAGGAGAAGAAATTGGGTCCTGAATCTGCTGCCCGCCGGTTGAAAGTTGCATTGCCAATTTTTGTACCCCTCGTCTCACTTCCTTGTTCCAGTTGGGCGTTTGTGACTCCAGTCACGTGTTATAGTCGTAAATTTCGCGGTACCGCTATAACGTGATTATGTCGTACAAAATGGCAAAATTATTTCTGGTGACGCATTTGTGGTGACGTATTTCTGGTGACGTATTTTGAGAATAGTAGCGTTTCTAGCAATCGTATCCTACTGAAACGTTCGTATGACGCCGCAAGCAGACTTCGACAGAGCTGCACGCGCGTACATAAAGTTGGTGCGCGGAACAAGATGTCAGTCTCTTGGTCATCACAAACATCAAAGCACAATCGTACAGATTGCTTGGTAGAATGACTTTTCCAGTATATATACTGTGAACTGTTTGAACAACTGAGTATTTTGCATACTTAGAAATTCTGTGAATGCAGCCTGCTTCTTGTGCAGTATTCATGAGCACCGGTCTCATGCAGAGTGGTCAATGCCACCTGAAGTACTTTTGGGGTGAATGCGGAAGTTTTCAGCTTCGATGCGAACATATTAACCATAAGCAATATCTGCGGTTACATTTTGCATGAGAAACTTCTGAAAACTCACGAAGAGGGCGTCATACTTTATACGGCAACACTGGTTTAGTCATTTCCTATTTATCTGTTATCTCCGCACCGCTAATACAGCGCACTTCTAGGCTG